ACATCTAAGAGGGGAAGGGTAAGATTCCTCTACTTTTTTATAACTATAATAATTTGGGACTTCATTAGGGGATATTTTAGAATGATTTGTGTTGGAATAATTCATATGTCTTTGCCCTTCACTATAACATAAACTCTAGATGATTAAGACCTAAATATAATAATCTTTGTACCTTGCCCATAATGCTCAGCACAAATGCACATGCAAATCTCACTTGGTAAATGTTTACTGAATTAGAAAAATACCAGAAAGGATGTTTGCACTAGATTACAAGTTTAGACACTCAAACACATATATTATTTCTGTAAATAATATATATACATATATTTTTTCTTTTACCATAAAATACCATATTGCACAAGAACAAAATGAAGTATTACAGCAGAACACACTGTAGTTAATTTTATGTAGTCTCAAGTTAATATTTTTTCTGTGAGATATTTAAGATTTAATATGCTAACAATATAGTAAAATACCCAGCACTGCTTTGAATTTCTTATTTAATGAAAGTATTAACTTCACCCTAATATCAAAGAAAAAAATTCTAACGTAAATATGCAGGTGTTTTTCCCCTGCTTACATATTTTTTTTAATACAAAGGGCATCAAATTTACTATATTTCAGATTGTGGCCTTTTTTTTTTTTTTTTTTTTTTTTTTTTTTTTTTTTTTTACTTTAGCTCTTCACATGCTAAAGCATACAATTTAATATTTTAATTAGTTTATATTTTAAAGTTAATGACATGACAATTATAGTATTGTTTACATACAGCATATCTCTCAATTTTATATTAACAAAAAAGACTTAGACATTGTATCTATTCAAATTACTAAATTAATATTTAAAGATCAGATGTTTTGACACACTACAGGATCAACATTCTTTTTATGTTGCTTTTACCTTGATTTTAGACAGTAAAAATTACAGATATAAATGGAATAACTTACTTTTCTATCAGAATAAAATACTTAAGACTTTTTCAAGCTCTGAAAGATGCTATTAAACATTATAATCCTTTTTTCCCCTCAAAGGAATTAATTACAAGTTAAGTTCTCTCCTTTCATCATTTTAAAAAGCAAATACTATTTGTGAATACTATTATTTCTATTGTAAATGAAAGCTTAGACTAATTTTAGTGTAATATATTCTATTTAATAAAAATGTAATCATTCTTACCTGAATCCAGACCAATGATCTGAGAGAATACAAAATAATTGTGAACAATATAGTACTGAAAAATGAGATATGAATGCTTTTTTGAATATTGGTATGATTTAAACAGACAAATGCAGGTAAATCTACATAAATATTTCTTTGGTTCATTGAGTGGCTTATAATTTTTAAACTGTCACATGTCAACATTAAAAAAATAAAAGCAGTACATTTCTGTTAAATGCAATTTCTTCTAGCTCACATAAGATAGCCATGACAATATTTTAAAAGTTAGCTTTTAAAAACAAATTATTTTTACTCATATAAACACTAACTCTTCTCTGAATGAAGAGAACCAACATATAGAAAGAATTCAACAAATATTTTAGACTGAATACACATAAGAACATTGTTTATATGTATGTATATAAATGTAAACTTGTATCTATATAAACTATAACGCAAGTAGACAAATGGTTATAATTCTTTTTATAGAAAATTAATACTTTTGAAATTAATAATCATGTCAAATCCATGGAATCGTCTTCTAGTCAAAGGTCATGATAGTTATATTTCAGTTAATCTTTTTTTAAATTTTTACATGAGGACATTATCTTCTAGACCCGTGGTAGGCAAACCGCGGCTCCAGAGTCACATGTGGCTCTTTGGCCCCTTGAGTGTGGCTCTTCCACAAAATACCAAGGTATGGGCGAGTCTATTTTGAAGTAGCATTAGAAGAAGTTTAAAAAATTTGGCTCTCAAAAGAAATTTCAATCGTTGTACTGTTGATATTTGGCTCTGTTGACTAATGAGTTTGCAGACCACTGTTCTGGACGATACAATAGACGATATTTAACATATGAAGTTATATTATCTTAATACTGAGAAAAATGTTGTAATTATATTTTTCTTAAAAACCTGAACCAGAATGTGACTATCAATTATTTGACCAGGTAAAAGTATACTGTAATGGGCTCTGACATATTTAAACAAACAAAATTTGTGAATTTCGGTGAATTGTAGGTAGGGGTGAGGCTAGAAATCCAGTATAATCAAGTTGCTTTTGTTATTCTGATATAAATAATAGTTTGTTTCACATATTGTGCCATGATTTGTAATTAAATGTGAGTCCTAGAAATTAACCTTAGTTTTTATAAATCTTTTTTTCCTTCCTTCCTTCCTTCCTTCCTTCCTTCCTTCCTTCCTTCCTTCCTTCCTTCCTTCCTTCCTTCCTTCCTTCCTTTTGCTCTATTAGCACCATTTCCTTATAGCTTAATTTTAAAAGAAGCTTCTTGGTGTTTTGTTTATATTGTATTCTCTAAAATGTTATACTAAAGCAAAGTATCAGAATTTGACATTTTGATATTAAATACTTTTACTCTATGGAATCTTTCGGTTTTTTTTTTGTTTTGTTTTGTTTTAAAACCTCCTTGCAAGTCTAGTTAATCTAAAAACCAGAAGTTTAGAAGTTAACACGGTTTATATTTCTAAGATAATAATATTATACATTCCTTCAGTTTAACAGCATACAGTATACTTTAGGCTTTTATAAGGAAAGATTTCTTTGGACACAATTTTTAGTTATTTGTTAGTTAAGTCAATAAAACTATTCACTGTAAACATTTAAAATTTCAAATTTAATTATAAAAATGTCATGGAAATATATTCTTTGACAGTATATAAAAAGATGATTTTGAATCAAAACATCAGTATAATGAGTCGTTAAACACTTCTAAGAATATTATTTATTTAGACATAATAATTTATATTATAATACTTTAATTTTACAGTTTGTTAGTTATAAATTCAGTTTGCAAATGCCCATGTGGTCCATCAATATCAGTAAGAGTGGTAAATCAAGACACAAAGTCAGATTTTACTTTTTTAAGTACCAATATATAAATCCTATACTTGGCTATCTTTTCAAAAGTGATTTGCATAGATTTAAATTAGCATGGGCAGTTGTAGAGAGGAGTATTTGCATTCCTAATGAGAAAGTACAGTCACCAATCAGAAACCGTCCTCACATTCTCAAAATCACTTGCATTTCCCATTTCTCTCCACGCAGCTGAATTAGACACAGTGCATCTTTTGCATATCTTTACCTCCAATGGACTAAAATGCAATAACTGAAACCTGTTCAAATGCAGTGGGGGACACACCATCCAAGGCCAAAAAACATTAGAGGGGAGGGTCCCTTCTTTTCCAGAAATTTCTGAGCATGTAAGGTCCACTCCTGATTCCTTCATCTCCTACTCCCCCAACTCCTCTTGCCACTTTGCCATTTCCCCCCCCCGTGCCCTCTACCCACTTTGAATGTTCCCTCTGCCCTTTGCAATACCGCTACTTTCTCTTCTCAGTTTATTTGTCTCTTTGTCATGCACATTTCCTCCCAAAACATTCTTATGAGCTTTGAGGAGGGCCTAAGTCCCTCCAAGAGGGAAGATAAGGATTATAATAACAGCGGATACAGTATTAGAAAATTCCCCACACACTGGCAATACAGGCTCCTCCGCGCATCCTTAAGGCGTGATGTTTAGCCTGAGAGCATCCCTCCTTTCCTTTCCTTAGGCGCATCGCGAGGGCCGTCTCCACCCGCGAGCCACGGAGGCGATTTTGTTGGCGACTAACCCCCTCTAGCGCCCAACCCGCAGCACCCGAGGAGCCACGGCTGCCGGGCCGGGGAGCTCTGCGCTCCGGGCTGGGCCCTGCCCGCGGTGCCCGCCGCTCCGGGGCGAGGGCGCGGGGGGCCACGGACGCCGCGCGCCCCTCGCCCTTCGCTGTTGGCCGCGCGTGCCACCCCGGCCTGGCACGAGCGCCGCGCGGGCCCACGGAAGAGCCAGCGCCGGCGGCTCCTGCCCGGCCCCGCCGATCCCCGGCGAGGGAGCGGGGCCGCGAGAGGGCGGCTCAGGCGCCGAAGCAGCCGGTTCCCCGCCGCGCTCTCCGCGCTCCGGGCGCCGCCGGGGCCGTGGCCGCTCCGCGCCTGGCTGCTCCGAGCGAGCGCGATCCGACGCTGCCACGCCGCGGGCGCCCCGGACCCCGCACCCCGCACCCCGGACCCCGGACCCCGCACCCCGGACCCCAGCGCCCGCGGCGGAGCCCCTAAGCCCGTGGCAGTCACCACCTCGGGCGGCGGGAAGACCTCCGTGAAGCCGGGCCGGGCGGCCGGCCACGTCCAGCCCGGCGCGCCTGCCTCCCCGCCGCCGGCGCTCCCTCCCGGGCTGTCCCCGGACTCAGCCGCGGAGGCGGCCCCGGAGCCCCGGAGCCCGGAGCGGGGGCGCTCGCTCGGGCGGCAAGTTTGGAGGCGAGCGGTCCGGACTGTCCGCCACCCCCGGGGTCCCCCCGGGCCGCCCGCGCTGCCCCCCCGCGCCTCCCTCCCGCGGCGGAGACGTGAAGTCCTGGGAGGCGGTGTCGGGGGCGGACGAGCCTCAAACGCTGGGCGCCGCCGCGGCGACATGGGGAGCAAAGTGCTTGGGGGACTGAGGGCGGCCTCCGAGGCGCCGGGGGAGCGGCTGCGGGGGCCGAGGCGCTGCGCGGAGGCGGCTGAGTTGGAAACCGCCGCCGCCGCTCCAGCCAGGCGCTGAGGCGCGCGGGTCGCAGCCGGCTCGGACCCTGCCCCCGCCCCGCTCCGGCCGGAGCAAAGTTCCCGCCGCCCCCGCCTCGGGCTCCGCAAGTGCCCGCCGGACTCCGGAGAGGCTCGGGCTCCGCACCTGGCCGGCCCTCCCCGTCCCCGCCCCGCGGCGCCCTCCCCGCCCCCCGCGCCCCTCCCCAAACCACAGCCCGGCTGCTCCTGCGCGCGCCCTCCCGGCCCGGCGAGCAGCCCTCGCGCGCGCGGGACGCGGCGGTGGATGCGCCTCCGCCCGCCCGCAGCCGCCGCCGGCAGCTCCCGGGCGCCGCGGGCAGCGTCCTCCGCCCCCGGAGCGGCGCCCGCGCCCGGGCAGCCTGGACCTTCGCGCCCTGCCCGCGGGGCCTCGCGCGGGGGGCGCCCCGGGACACCCCCTGCGGGCAGGGTGGAGGAGGAAGAGGAGGAGGAGGAGGAGGAAGACGCGGGCCAGGTCCCCTGTCCTGCCCGGAGCACCTGGCTGCGCGGCCGCCGCCGCCACCACTCCGTTCGGGGCAGGAGGAGAGGAGCGCCCCGGAGAGCCATGGGGGGCTGCGAAGTCCCAGAATTTCTCCTGCAATTAGGCTTCTTCTTGCCTCTGCTGACCGTGTGGCCGGGAGACTGCAGTCACGTCTCTAGCAACCAAGGTAAGGGGCCGGGCGGAGGAGCGGGGGAGGCCGGGAGGTGGGTGCTCCCAGGGCCGGTGCTTGGGTGGGTCGCCTCCCGCAGGTAACTTCATCCCGGTGTAGTTTCTCCGGGCTGGTCCAGGATGCTTCCTCATGGCCTCGGACCGCGACCTGCCGGACTTGGGTCCCCAGTTGCTTGCACATGTCTGTACAGGGGTGCGTGAGCCTGGGCAGCAGCTGCGAGCCGCGGCCGGCGGGGGACCGCTCCACGGGAGGCAGGTCTGCCTGGCACGCGCTTCGTGGGGACTCCTGGCTCCTGGCGGCCGCCGCTCCGAGCTGGGCCAAGTGCAGGGTCTCACAAGCCTTCAGGGAAGCAAACTGCTTTCTTCTGCCTGAGGACCAGATACTTACTTGCCTTTGCCCCGTCACTGCTGCCCTGGTCCCTCCGCAGCCGGCCCCTTGTCCCATCCAGACCGAGGGCAGTGGGCTTGCTTGAAATCATTCCTAAGTCCGCGTGTTTGTGGTTTTCTTTTTTCTTGTGTGCAAAGCGGGTAGAGGGAGATAAGCATTTAAGGGTGAATATCCAAGTTGTGAATATCCTATTTCTAAAACCAGTCTCTGGTAGATTTTTTAAAAAATATTTATTTATTTATTTTTTTAAGGAAGGCTGTTTTAGTAGGTAAAGGGGTGAAAATAAAGAGTTGGATAGTGTGTGAAAAGTGAAAGTCAGGTTTACTGAATGAAAGGCAATTAGAATTTTTGAATTGTTTCTTCTGTTCAGTCTGTTTTTAGGAAACGTATCTTGGATTTGCTCTGATTTTAAAAAATCCATAAAAATATCACCTGCGTAGTGTAAACCCTCTTAGGCTAAGCAGGGAACATCCATAAAAGTTTTCCAGCGTGCACCTGGCTGGATGCGCTCATTGGCAATGTGATGACCACCAATATGTCACCTGTTATGTCACACTTGTCTAAAGACTTCACTATAAAATTTCAATTATAGTTATTATTTAACATATAAGGTCTTGGAATAATTTGCAGATATAAGAATGGAGGTCAGATGGCAGAAGAGTGCACATTTTTGTGAGGGTGAGAAGGTTTAGAGAGAAGGCAAGTAAAATAACACAGCTTTCTTTTTGCCATAAACATATATGACCATTTACTTCTATTTAAGAGTATTCAGAATCAATATTCAATTGTTTTCATTTATACAATTTGTGTTTTTGGCATGTTTTCCTAAACATTTCTACTTGTGCAATGTGTGTGTTTTGTTTTGTGTTTTTTCCCCCTGCCAGATTGCAATCCCAAGTGCATGCATAAATTTGGGAAGCATACACCACCGTCATGTCTTTGAAGTATCACATAAGTGCCCCCTATAGTTCCATATTCTCCTATTCTTCATATACATCTCTCCATTGTTTTTAAGGGCCATTGGCATTATATATCAAAGGGGTAGTTAACTGAATCAACCTGTGTGCAAATAGATTGTTAAAAATAACATAATTATTTACTTGGTCTTTTTACATTTTTAAGGAGAGAAAAATAATTTTTAATATTATGCTCTATGTTAGTATCCAGGGCTACTAAAAGAGATGTATACTTTGAGAGTCAAGTTTATTAGAAGTGTTTAAAAGTTATTTCCATGCAGTAGTTTCACTCAGTCAACATGTATCTATTCATTAAGAGCCTAAGAAACATCAGTGACCACCCTAAGTCTCAAGGATACAAAATAAAACATATTCTGAATCTACAAATGACTAATGTGCCATTCTACCAAAATATTTTAAGTATTAAAGTATAACCTTTAAGATATTCATGTTAAGGGCATAGAAGACAGTTACTTGGTAACCTCTTGCAGTAATTTTTTAAATCTATTTTGATGACTTTCACATACTTTTAAAAGACATTTAACCTGCAGTATTTACCAAATATGTATAATTTATGGTTTTTTTTTAATCAATTAGCCTAACAATGATAGTGAATGAATATTACTCAGTTTACCTATCAAATAGGATCATTACAAATAGTTTAGTAAAACTCTTAATTTGAATTTCTGTTCATATGCTAAAAACACAGGCTTTGCATAAGGTTACATTTGGGTAAAATAGTGCCTTAAGGCCGGCCAAGTTGGGTAAAATTTAGAGTTCTTCAAAAGAAGACTCAAGAGAAAGTGTGCTCAGATTTTTTCATCAGACATAAATGGTTGCTTATAAAATGCTTATTACAGCCTAAGTCACAATGGTTAGAAATTATGCTTTATAATATCTTTAAATAACTTTCAAATACTGAAGTGATCACACTAATAGTTAATAAAACTTCAAACTACAAAATTTTATTTTTTGTGGACATTTTGGGCATATCTTCTAAATTTGTAGTTTCATAAACAACAAATCAAAGTAAAACACCAATTTTTGAACTTTGAAAACATGGGGCATTGCAGAATGATAATAAGTATAAAATATAGAAATATTTAATGTGAAATATAAATTAGATATCTAATATATCTAATAAATATAAGTAATATGATTAATAGTTAATTTCAAGAAAATGTGTTCATTTTCCTAGTAACTTTTCATCTTAGGAGCTAATGGAATTCATGTTTTATTAAAAAAATGTGTTACTTTGTGAAGGGTAAATTTTTATTTTTATGTTATTTGCCTTCTACTTAAGGATGTTAAGTAAATTTTTTAGTATCTATTTTTGCCAAATTATATAAAATTCTTCATGATTAAAATGAATGGATTCACCTTCTTTCCCTCCTCCTAGTTTTCCATACTTAGACTTGGTAAAATAATGATAATGACAAAAAAGTGAACTACCTCATTTTTAACATGGTGCTTAACATGGTGTTAAGAGTAACTTGACTATAGGAAGTAATCTTTTCTCTTGTCTTTTTACTGGCTGTGGAGCTGTGCACTATAAAGACGAAATAAATCAATTTGACTCTGTCTTCCTATTACCCAACCTCCTTGAATTGATCAGAAAGTAGAGTTGCTTCCTAGATCACTCATCTGTTTAGTAAGTGAAAACATGATTTGTGTTCACATTTCTCTTACTCTAATAATTTCCCCTAGTATTTAAGACCTCAGTATTTATTAGGTGTTGGCAGTTTTATTTTAAAATAACATATTTTGTCTTCTCAATATATATAAACTTTTATCTCTGTACTGACGCTTAGGTGAATATAAAATACAGTTTTGTTTCATATGTAAGTAACAATGTATATCAATTATAGTGCTTAGTAGCCACCAGGGGTCCATTTATTCAAAGGATACTTGAGCAAATAGTACTGTATAGCCTGAAAGAGTTGATGCATTTTGCAGGGTGTGGCTCATCATCAATCAGATACTCAAGTAATTCATTAAATCAAAATATGGTTGGGATAGAAGAATCTAGTAAACTTATTTTACTACCAAGGTTGTGTGAATTTATCTTTTTTTTTCCTTCAGGGAATTAAATGCCAAATGAAACAAGCAAAACAGTAGTCTGATTTGTTAGTTTCATTGAATTCATTACTTTGGATGTATTGAATGTAAAATTCACTAAGTTGTATGTAAACACAGGTGAAAATACCTAGGTAGAAAAATACCTGCTTAATTAAAATTTGTAGCCTAAAATTAGTTAACTGCCATAAATATTGTTCACAAATCATAAAACTAAATATTGTTCTTATAGTAATAGAAAGGAAGGAGTTGACATTTTTTTTTAGAAAGTTCAAGAGTGACCTTTTCTGAAAACATTAAAAATTTGTTAAGTAGGGAAAACCACATGATTTACAAAGAATATTACTAAAAGAATTTCACTTAGATAAAATTCACTTATAGGAATAAACTTCATAGCTATAAAGGTACAGGAGATTTTAATCACATGCCTTTATGTGGTTAAAAACAACTTGGAATGTAATTTTGTTATACTTTTACAAATTGAAATAAGTAATTGTGTAATTAGTTGTTATGATTAGTAATTGAAGTAGATAGAGAAAATGTCATTAATTTGCATTGATCAGCTAAGTGTTGTTTCCTCTGGGTTGGGGATAAGACTATATCTAAAATCTTTTTCTTGCAAAAAGATTATATAATGTCCTTTAAGGATTTCTTCTTCAAACTAGAAGTAACATCAGCGTAACATATTTATTTGGATTTTCCTAGGAGGAAAAATGTATATCTAATGGTACAAGACAAAATTAATGTTTAAATTACATATTTCACTGTTTTTATATTTTCAAACTTAATCTATAAAGAATTTTGTATTACTTTCATGTTAAAAAGTTAAACATTAAGAAAAATGTTAGAGTAGAAATGTTTATTCCTTCAATAATCATTGCAAGTATAAACTACTTAGGTACAAAAGGCATCATAGATTTCTTGTGTTTCCTTCTACCAATCCTCTTTCCCTAACACAGGCATCAGATCTCAATCATGTTCTTATTCTTTCTCTCTTCATGCACTGAGTGCTTCTAACTATATACTCCGTTTGTCCAAAGAATAGATACGGTTTCATATTGTACATCAACCAAACTCCTACAGTAATAGACATTTTTCATTGTGTTCTTGTCTCAACATTTTTGAGAGTATAAATACAGTGATCAATACATACAGTTAAGTAATCAAAATAGACTGACCTTATACAGTGTACATTGTCATTTTACACAGATGTTTATACATCTACAGTATTCTTTAATAAAAATTGTATTATTTAAAGTGTGCAACATGCATTATATCAGGATTCTGATCAAATTGCAATTTCATTAAACCAATGTTATTTCTTTAAAAAGGGAAATTATATATTACTTCTACATTTGCCTTATTAAGTATTGTTTCCTAGAATTTAATATCTGGATGATGGAGGAAAAAGAATAAGCAGCACAAACATTGTCTATTCCCTCATTATTTCTACTAAGGAAGACTGATTAAAAAAAAAGGTAAAATAAAATGAAAAAAGTTCTTAGATATTCTGTGGAGGAAACAACAACAGCTTTGAATTAGAGAATAATAGGAGAGGCCTGGTATTTTAAATGTGAT